CTCCTAACACTGAAGCTGGGTATTGCTATCTAGGTGGAGTCTATGAACTGAATCATTCAAGGTCTTTATTTTCTCTTCACTTCTATTTGCCCTCTCAATCATCCCTAACCCACACTTTTCTCCTCTGTGTCCCTCTCTTCTTCTTGCCACGTTTCCTTTTCTCATGTTCTTCTGCCCTAGTTTCTTGGCCCCTCCTTCTTTGTCTTCTCCCTCTTTGTCACCCAGAGCGCAGTGATCGTGATTTCAATGGCCTCCTCTCTTCACTCGTCCAGCTGCTTTCAGCCCCTGGAGCCCGAACACTGCTTGGCTTCCAATCACTAGTGCAGCGAGAGTGGGTGGCAGCTGGACATCCCTTCCTGACCCGACTTGGAGTAACTGGAGCCAGTGAAGAGGTAAGATCATTTGGGGAGGGTACTGGGGGGAGATTATTACTAAAGGTGTAAGGGAATGAGAAAACTATATAGTATAATCCACTGGAAGTAAAATTGGGTTAGAAAGATCCTGAGATTAGGTTGAGCTTGAAGGGAGACCTAGATGAATGAGGCACCACAACCCCCTAGTACCCTCAATCTAGGTTTCCATTCCCTGACCTTAGTGGCCCTGTTGGTGTGTCCCTTGTCCCCCATCATTTTGTCATCCTCCCCCTTTAGGTGTCATCCTCCCCCTACAATCCCTTCTAACCTCTCACTTTCCCTCTTCTCAGGCTCCAGTGTTTCTTCTCTTCCTTGATTGTGTCTGGCAGCTCCTCCAGCAGTTTCCAGCTGAGTTTGAATTCTCAGAGTTTTTCCTTCTTGCTCTTCACGACAGTGCCAGAGTTCCTGACACTCTCACATTCTTGAGAAATACTCCCTGGGAGCGTGGAAAGCAGAGCGGACAGGTCAGTCAGTGACTTCCATTTTTGAGCTGTCTTTTCTTCTTCTTGAGAAATACCCTATGTTTAGTCTTGATTTATGGAAAGTGAAATCGGGGGCGGGGGGAGGAGTTGGTGCTCATTCTTCATGACTTGATTTTCACCCTACACCTGATTTCCCAGAGGAAGAAGTGAGCTTTTTATGATTTCTCTCCAGACTTGGGAAAAGGATTACTTTTTGCTTAACCATCCGTTTTCTTGTTTTCTCTGTCCAGTTCAACTCCTATACACAAATCTGTACCCCAGGGTACTCCCAACCCCTTGCTGGGAACTCGGTTAACCCACAGCTGTCCGTCTGGGACTGGGATTTACGTTACAGCAGTGAACAGATACTACAATTCCATAATCCTGGCTATGACCCGGAATACTGCCCAGATTCCTGGCTCCCTAGACAGCAGGTGAGGTGTCTATACTTCCTAGGTTCCCTTGACTTTCTCACAGACTCGTCCTACTAGGTAGGGAGAAGTGGAAAGACATGGTGGCTGAGTTCCCCAGGAAAAGCTTCCCTACACTTCTGTAGCTGTCAGAGTCCCTGACTGTCCCCAGGAAGGCAGAAATCCTAGAATAGCACAGAGGGGGTCCTTCTTGTCCTCATCTTTTTCTATCTCTGACACACATTTTTTAAAAGATTTATTTATTTTAGAGAGAAAGCATGTGAATGCCAGCGGTGGTGGGGTTGGGGAGAGGGTAGAGGGAGAGAGAATCTCAAGTAGACTCCCCATTGAGCACCCGCAGAACCCAATGTGGGTCTGGATCTCACAACCGTGAGATCATGACCTGCGCTGAAATCAAGAGTTGGATGCTTAACTGACTGAGCCACCCGGTAACCCCTTTCTTACACACATTTTATAAGTTTCCCTTAAATTGACTTTAATCAAACCTGAGGCCTAGTTTGAGGCCTAACGAGGAGAGTAGATAAAGAGTTCTCAGGGGGGTGTCTGGTAGGTTGATCACTAATGCGGTGTGAGCAGGCGGCAGCTAGATATTCCTTCCTGACCCAGTTTGGTGGAAGTGGGGTCATCTGGTTTCTAGGTTGCCAGTTGATTTCTCTTTTCCCTTTAGCCAAGCTTCCTGGTTCCTGGACCCCCCAGTTCTGTGTGGCTCTTCTCCAGAAGGGCCCTGACCCCCATGAATCAGCTCTGTCCTTGGCGGGACAGCCCCTCCCTACTGGGTGTCTCTTCTCGTTGGCTCCCTCGACCTGCTGTCTCCTCTGAAAGCCTGGCTGATCAGGAGTGGGGGCTCCCCTCACACTGGGGAGCTTGCCCTTTACCCCCGGGGTTGCTGCTGCCTGGATATCTGGGACCCCAGATCA